CAGTTTGTGTTGTCAATTCATTAACTTCAAAGTAGGGGAGTAGGAGGATATTTGGATAAATTTAAGATTGAAGATGTCAAAGACCTTCACGCTGGCCGGCCTGAAGGTTCACCATTAAAAGTCGGCTCCACCGTCTCCCTCTCGAGGGTCCTTCTCTGACCATCTCCTTCTCACTGCAGCTCACACCAGGCAGACCTCTCCCCTCCCAACAGAGAGGCAGCACACAGACTTATTTATCACTGACGCCACAGTCTTGGCTTCAGGATAATGGGTTATCATGGTATCAAGACACAGAATTTTTGTGATAAAGGTAGAATTTATGAAAGGTCTTAGGACAGGATCTGGGGCCTGGTTCATGGCTATTACAGTGAAGTCCATATCACATGCATTGTGATAACGTGCATGTGTCAGGCGTGACTGGTAACTGGCCCTTGTCCTCAGAGGGCTTGCTCCAGCTACTTAACTGCTTCCCCATCAAAGAACAACTGTTCAATCTCAGGCTCCACTTACAGCATCAAGATGAGGTTTTAGGTTGGGATCATTATTTTGTATTATTTCTACTCCTACCTATGTAAGGGTTAACATCCTCAAAGTAACCTGTTTACCTCCTCCGGCACACCTGTATGCTCCCTCTGGACAAATCTACCTGACTCCCTCCTGTATTCTCAATGTTTACAACAAGGGCTTAATACATATTTGCTGGAAGAATGAGCAAAAGCATAAATGCTAAGAAATTAGAGCTTTCTAGCAATCAAACATCTCTCTGCTGTAGAGAGGGTGGCCATGTTTATGTGTAGTGCTGTGCGGGGACGTGCTTTTGCTCTGGAATTTGGAGGGGTTACTGATTCAGAACTCTGCACACCACTTCTAAGTAGTGAAGCTGTTGGGCTCTCTATCACCCAGTGGCCCTGGAGATGTGAGCAACAACAAGCAGAGCAGGCATGAGGTACCTGGAGCACGGCATCCCTTGCTTGGGAGATCTAAACCACCCGGATACATGACTCATGAGACAAAGAAGTCATTACCAGGAGCATGGTCCTGAGACCCCAGATGCCAGTGGGTTCCATATGGATTCCTTCATTCTTTACACAATTGGAGGTTGGAATTCCTTATGGTAAAAACTTAGGGCCAGAAGTGGTTCATATTTTGGAGTATTTGTATACACATGAAGTATCTTGGGGATGTGGCCAATGTTTATGCATGAAATTCATTATGTTTTACATACACCTTGTAAACACAGACAAAAGTAGTTTTACATAGTACTTTCAGCACGTCTATGTTTTGACTGTGACCCAAAATGTAAGGGTAGCTGTGGATATTGTGACAGCACTCAAAAAGTTTTGAGATCGGGACTGTTTTGGATTTCTGAGTTTTAGATTGATGATGCCCCAATGTAGTCTACAAGCCAGGCACTCTTCCGGGACTGGAAATATACCTGTGAACAGAAAAGCAGCTCTAAACTCAGGGAGCAGTATGGAGTCTGGTTCTACAAGCAGTGAAACCTCAAAGCCCAGTGGGAAATGCCACAGCCGACTGATCCTCAGGTGTGTCTGTGGTGGGAATGGGGCAGGGGCAGGCACGCAGACACCATCACATGGGCAGCACACACTGCATGCTTGCTAAGCCTGTTCAGGCCTCCAGAGGAGCTGACATGGCAGGAAGCCAGGATCGTCAAGGTCCACCAAAGCCTTGGAAGAGGGAATGGTGAGAGGTCTGGATACTGAAGGGCCCTGTAGCAGCATAAGCAATAGAAGGCGCTTCCCCTGGTAGATCACAGCCAGAATCCGTCCTTGACTACAGAAAGGAAAGTACCTGATCTGGCTCAAAAATCACAGCTCCAGAGCCCTTTCACCCCCGTAGGGTGTGAATGACATAGAATGAGGAGCTTCCCAAGGGAAGAGAAGGGTATAGAGACCCAAAGTAGTTACAACTAGAGCCAAAGGAAGAAACTGCACTATAAGAGATGGAGATTTAAACCAAAAATAAAAACACATCACCCTGCTAAGTCCTGATTTGCTGGTTCCAACTGTACTTCTGGACTTGGCTAGACTGAATGGCTCATCTGCGGTCCTATGATAAATAATTTATCCACCCAAATTTATGCCTGTATTAGAAGGGTCTTCTAGAGTCCAATAACTTCCCAGCTCTTTTAGCTATGGTAGTAGCATAACACTCCTACCCCCTCAGGCTCCCTGAAGCAAGTCCGTTAAGGACACCTGGGCTGCTAATGGGAGGCCAGAGCAAAATTCTGCTGAGCAGAGGGTTTCCCGAGCTTGGTGCAGAGATGCAAAGATGGCCCATAAAGAAAAATAATAAGCCTGAAGCTGATTAAACATCTATTCTCTCTCAATGTCTCCAAAGCTCTTGAGGAGACCTATTGCTTCCCTTTCCAGTAATGAGTCCAAGGAGCCTGCAAATCTCATTCATTCCACAGACCTTTGCTCCTGGGTAGCTCCCACTCCCCTCCAGTGTGGACTGGAAGAAATCAGTTTTAAATTGCTCAGAGACACAGAGGAAGGAGTTAGAAGCAGAAACGCTTATAAATGCCATGCCTTGCTAGTCTTTCATGTCATTATTCCAGATCCCAAGATTCATTCGTTCTGCTGCCTGTTGCCTTGTCCTGGGTGTAGGAGTCTCAGTGATACAATACTAGGGCCCATCATATTCTCCCAGTATTGGAACCATACTTCCACTCGGAGTACTTTAAATATATGCTTGTCAGATAAGCAGACACTAGGTAATGGGACTGGTGACATCTTCAGAAGGATGAATATGCACCCCCGTGCTCAAAATTCCAGCTGCATTCCTTGGTTATTCTCTGGCTTTGGGGTTGGGGCCCAAGAGGTCTCTCTTCCTGTCTTCCCCTGGACATCAGGGCCACCAGCTCTGGCCTATTTCCCGTTCGCTGACAGAGAAGGTAGAAGGTAGGTGAGGAAGGGTTCTTTTAAAATTTGTAAGGCTGAGCAAGACATTCACGAGGCTGGGTTAATAGAGGTGTGCGAGACAGTAATGACACGCTGCTGAAAACCAGCTCTGCCAAATGTTATTTTAAAGGAGCTTGAACTTTTTCCACACCTTCATGCGGAGAAAAGTGAAATGAGGAAAATGACAAAAAACAGCACTGCTGTGAAGGGGCCTGGACACACTGATGATTCTCAAATGTCAGCCTAAGACACAAGGTGATGGGAAGGGAGCAGGCAAACTGGGATACACGTCACTGTCTTTAATAGACTTGCTTCGGGAGGTCACAGTCCAAAGGCTGCATGTAACCCCGAAGGAAATAACATCTTAATGGAAACATAGCAGGTCACTGGCCAAGGAGCTAAAGAATTTCCCAAACTCTTTTATTCATGGCACCACACAAATGACTTGGTGGTACTGACGGAGATGGAGAAACTGAGGCAAAAAAGCAGCTATGCATTCTTTTGGCTGCTGGTGTCCACTAAGTGTTCTTGAATCTGGGTGTTGATGAAGATGATATGAAAGCGCTTGGAAGAGCTTTAATTTGCAATTTAGAAGTCCAGAGTTGGAGCCACCTTAAAAAAAACTTAACCTAAGTTTCCCAAGGCCATGCCAAACAGCTCTCCAGATCACCGTAATCCTTCCTGTGTCCACCTCCTAAGGCTGCTGTGAGAGTCAAAGCACATGAATGTACCATCTAAAATCCAAGTACTGCCCAGGATTGGCAATCACTATCACGCTGCAGGAGTCCACGTGCTCACCTCCTCTGTCCTACTTTGAATATAAAAACAGGGAGAACAGAGGCAGAGACCAGATTGAGAAGTTCACTTTTCACTTTTTTTTTCTCTTTGGAGACAGGGTCTCACTATGTAATTCAGGCTGGTCTTGAACTCACTATGTAGCCCAGTCTGGGAATGAACTTCCTGCCTCAGCCTCCTGAGTGCTGGAATTACAGGACTGCACCACCATGCCTGGCTGAAAGTCCACTATTGCTAATAAACTTCTCTATGTTTTATTCCGGGAGGGAGCTGTGTGCTTTATTTAGTCTTGTATCTTATGCATAATGCCTGGCCCAAATCTTCTATTTAATAAATAATTGTAAAATTCATAAATAAGAACGTGTTATTAAACACAAGGGGGTTTATCTAACATGCTCAAGTGCCAGCTGATCCTCCAAGTTCAAACACTGGCTTATTCACAAGGGGCCTCACTTCCACAGTGGGGTTATAAGAAATGACAGACCGTTGTGTGGACTGCCCAATGGTTTTGAAGCTCCATGTCATCATGCTTGGTAAAATAATCCTCAGTGGCTCCCCCAACTACTGACACCTCAGAGTCTGGACTCTGCCTGCATCTGTGACAATCACACTTTCTTCTCCTTATCAAATTTTATATCACACAATTTTCCAGCACTTAGACTAGGGGGGTTGGTTTCTAGTTCTTTCCTGAAAAATCACGTGATTCTGGCCCAACTGCCAGGTGCACCCATACCCTAGCTATCTCTTACATCTTTCATGGTGCAGTCCTTGCTCCTTGAGCTGGTGGGGTATTTTTTCTCATCTGAACTTCAGCATCCAGTACATGCTTGTTGAATGAGGAGGTGTGGGGAAGAGCTGGCTGGGGGTGTACAGGGGTGACTGGGGAGAGCTCAGCACCCCCAGCCTATTGTGAAAGCTGCTATTCTATCAGAAAGTCTGTCTTGAGCCAGGAGCTACCCTTCCCATTTGTAGCCCTATCCCAAGCCACTGACTTGTTGCTTAATACAGAGAGGGTCCTCCTTAAATATGGTTCTTAGAAAATTTCTAGTTGAACATTTTCTTTTTACTAAATCAATAAACAGACCTACGGCAACCTTTTCACACAATTCACTAACTTATCAGTGATAGCTTGTCTAGCAAGTCAGTGCCCAGTTATGGTCTAAAGAGCAACTATATCCTTAAAAAAAAAAAAGAAAAAAGAAAAAAAAGCAAGACTGATCCCATTTTAGAAAAACCCTCCATATTTATGGTAAATTTTTTACAAATCTACTAAAAACATACCTTAGTTTCTCGCAGAAGAAACTGTAGATCCCGTCCACTGAGGATACCATGATTTTCTACATAGCTAGGGATGTTCTTCGTGCTGGAACCATAAACAGTAGCATGCACTTCCATGTATGTATGAATGATATCCAGATAGATCTTCTTATTCTAAAGTGGGACACAAGCAGAAACAATTTCTTTCAATCACATCATCCATTCATAGAACAGAACCTCCTTTGTATGCTACAGGTCACAGAGACAGGAATTCTTAATATGGAGATGGCAGGAGTTTGGCAATCCAATTACTGAAATTTCTTGTTAAAGTAATCTGTGGATTTTGAGGGAAAAAACAGTCATATTACCACTGCACAAGTTATGGTAACATATGGCTGCATATCAATGACCGTTCATGGCCAGCTGTTTTTACTACCAGGGACCCAACACATTGTTTTTGGCGCATCCTCTTTATGAGGAAGGAAGCTTGGGGAAAGAAGGTCCAGAGAAGGCAGTTGGTTGGGATAAAATATTTATCTGGAGAGGTTAAACTGTCCCTAAGGAACATAAACATCCCCAGCTTTTGCCAATATTCCTAGTGATGAATAACTCATGTTGTCAGAATTGGATCCCGGTTAATTCTGATCATGGGGAGAGGAGAATTTCCCACAATGTGCACCGACTGACTCAGCAGCTGGAGAGATGAGAATATTTAGGTAGGCAAGAGCACAAAAAGAGATTAAATGGCAAGTTTGGTGAGCCCTAAAACATTCAAGAGTATTTTATTTTTTATTCGAAACAAAACCATTCCATTCCATGCACTTTCCTGGGTTTGTAGGACTGAATTTCATGACACGTTTTCTAAATGAAAACCACCTGTGAAGTGGAAGCAGGCTCACTTTCCCTTCCTCTTCATGTTTCTGTGTGACTAAGTTGTGTAAACTGGATTTGTATAGCGTGGGGACTTTTTTTTTTCCCTCTAATTTGAAAGACTCAAATTCTGTAATGTTTTCCAGTTGTATCAGAGTGGGACAAAGCTCTCCCCCTTCTACACTGTTTTCAAACACTAGGTAAATCCAGTTATAGCTGGTTCTGTGACTTCAGACTGTTGGAGGGATGTGGGGGCTGGCAACATTGTATGGAGAAGGGAGGGCAGGCCTGAATGTAGTGGGTTATGGTCCCTCCTCTGCCACTGAGTTACGTAGGACATCTAAAACTTTGGGGAAATCTTTCAAATCCTTACTTGGTAAGTCTTCATGAGCAGAAAGTTAGCAGCCCCAATTTCTCCATTCCATGCACCAGGATGACTTTTGGCTCAAACATGACCCCCTGCAGTCTAATCTATGAATACATCGAACACTTGAACTGGAAGTGTAATTCCATGCCACATCTGATGCGGGTGCAAGATGCTGAACTCAGTTCTTCAGAGGTATAGACTCAGGAATAAGCAGCACAATGATTCCCTACTTGAAGCGCGAGCCTCATTTGGAATATCTACTAGTAAAGTTCGCTGAGAAAGTTCTAGAATATGGTTCTTGGGCTAGAGGTGTCTGATGACTTTCGCACCTCTCTCCCTCAAGTCCCTGGTTAAGCAGGCTGAAGTCTCTGTAACCCTGGCTTTTCTCCTGCCAACTGGCCCAGAATGGGTCTAACCAGAGGGCGTGCAGTCCTAAGCCACTAGCAGCCTGGGAATGGTGTGGGGGGCTAAGGGAGACAAAGTGGGTCCAGCAGACCTTCCTAGCAATCAGAATCCTGTACACAGAGCCAGATGACTGTGGGCACTGGAGCACAAGGATCATTTGGAGTCAGTCTGTGCAATTATGGGCCAGGTACCAAGGTTCTGAGGAGGTCAGCTGCCAGATGTAGGGGTAGGAAAAGAACCCACGAGGAGCTGAAGGGGAGGAGAAGGGAAGGCAGACAGACGGATGGTCATGAGAGGCATCAGACCTGGCAGTGATGGAGACATCATACCTGTGAGTGTGATGAGACAGACAGAGGAGGAGGAAGAGGAAGAAGGCAAAGAAAAGAATGAGAAAACAGAGAGAAAGAAATACCTGCCCTGGTGCCCACTGACTGGAAGCTGCTCCCTATCCTAAATTCCCTAGGTCTTTGTGGATCTCTACAACAGTAGCTATCCAAGCTTTTCCCAGACACTACCCTACATTTTTACTTGCGCTAGCTGGGTAAATTCCAAGAGAAGGCCTCTCAGAATTCATGCTGGTCTTGAAGCAGAGTCTCAGGGTAGAGACAGGTGCCTCTCCTTGATGCAAAAGGAGACCCTTCCTGGTAAAAGCCAGCTGCTAAGTAATGAGGATGGACCACAGGCCCTAGCTGAGGTCTGGGGTGAGATACAGACAAAACAGCAAAAGCTCCATCTGCTTCCCATCCCACAAATAAACATTCACTGCAGACCGACTCAAGATTAGAATCCCAGAATACACGCCTGAGAAAGGAACCATATACTAAATTACACACATGTGGCCATCACATCCCAGAAAAGGTCACAGCTGAGTTCGGGCAGATAGAAGTCTCTGTGAAAGCTAATAAAAAGCCTATGGATTTACTAACCTTTACGTATGGTAAAGTCTAATTGCCTTCAAAGAGGATTTATATAATCTCACAAACAAGAAAATCCCAGCAGGTGATCAGAAGGAAAAATGTTTCAGGCCTAACTGTAATCTTTGAAGTTGACATGGCAATTAGGCAACTATCTTAGCTCTCTTGTGCAGAAATTTGGTAAGGCTGAACCACACTACGTGCATCTTCTAGGTAAAAGTGCCACTGACAACTTTTGACCCAAGCCATACCCACTCCCAGGGCAAATACTCCCTGGACGCTAAGGGACCCCAGTGACGCATTTATAGCTCAGATCTCTTTCCTAAATTTTGAGTCCAAGTAACAATTGCCTCCTGAAATTTTCCACTTGGGATGCTGCAGCCACTTTTAAAGGGGTGCTACCATACCCAACCAGCAGCCCCTCATCTGCTCCTGGGCTTTGTGAGTGGCGTCAATCTCCCCACCAGGAATCTGGACAAGAATCACACTTCTTGTTCCTGTACCTCCCAAACCCCAAAATACATGGATCAAATAAGTAACAAAGTCCTGTCGATGCTACCTCTATAATATCAAGTTGGTCTCTTCCTCTTCAGGCCCTGGATCACTGCTCATCTGGTTTGAACCAGGATTAAAACTATCAGTACCTTCACATATCTCTCTGTGGCTCAAAGGTAATATGACTAGTCCATGATTTCTGTACATAAGCAGCAGTGCTGGGACCCACTGCAAAAGAATTTGCATGGCTTGATGCTCCTTTTGCAAGTCTTTTTAACCATGCAAAGAAATACCATGCATATGAGTGATGTTTATACATGTGGACATTTGTAGGTGGAATACAAAAATATGCATGAGGATGACATAAAACTTCCAGGTGCTGACTACAGCGGAGAGATGATTTGGTAAAGTAGAAAGAGCCTCAGTGCTCTTTGTAATATATCATCTATGTGTTAAAAATATTGCATGACGTTAACATTTGTAAATCTGGGTGGTGTCTAGATGTCTACTATGATTTGAATGTGTTTCCCAGAAGTTCGCTTGTGGCGAATTCATGTTAGTAGTATTTAGATACAGGCCTTTGAATGTAATTAGGATTACATGAGGTCACCAGGGCAGGGTCTCCAGACAGCATTAGAGACTTTATAAGAAGGGGAAGAGACCCAAGTAGTCCACTGGATCTGTCTTACCCCATTCGCCTCTCATATTACAAGGTAGCAAGAAGGCCCTCATCAGACCCCAGGCAGTTGCCAGCGCTGCGCTCTTAGACTCCTCGGCCTCCAGAACCATAAGCTGAATAATCCTCTATCCTCTATAAATTATTCAGTCTCAGATATTTGTTATAGCAACAGAAAATGGACTAAGGCAATGTCTTTTTTTTTTTAAAGACTTCTGTATATTTGGTGTATTTCACACTTAGATATAAACACTGAAAAATAGAGGTAACCATTAATAAACAAAACTCAAACTGTCCAAGACTCCAAAGTTTGCATCCCTACCACCACACCAGAAGGCTTAGTTCTTGCCATCAAGGGACTCAAAGGATTCCTCTCCTTTTAGTGATACTGTACACTGGTGGTATGTGTTAGGTTTAAGGAAAATGGGGCTAAGGTTTGTTCATTCAAAGAGCTCCCTGCCTGTCTTTCCCTAAGTCCGGGGAAGGCCCAAGGTAGGCAGTGGTGCACAGACAGGGAACATGCACACCATGCCCTCCCATAGTTTGGTTATCCAGGCCTCGGGTTAAAGGTGACACCATCCACCAGGAGGCCCACTGACCTAAGAACTGAGCGAAGGTCACTTCCTAAAAAGCTTTGCTTCTCTGACTTAAGAGGTGAAGAACAAAGAAAATTATTCTCAAACCCTTATCGCCAGCTGATTTCTTCAGACACAGCCCACAGGGGCTTGCACGCCACTTTTGCCTTGGAGCCATGGGAAATGCCTCCAGGAGGTCCCAGCTCAGCCACGGAGCTGGCTTTCAGTCTCTAATGCTTTCAGTCTCTAGTTCAATTTAAATTCCCATTAAAAACAACTGATCTAACTGATTAAAATTTAAATCTACCCAACCTCACGTGGGGGAGAGGCGATTTGAAGGGAAAGGAGAGTGCATGTTAGAATCAAGGAGCAATGCTTTTCTTTGCTATTTTTTTTTTTTTATTTTAAAGAGGAAAAAACAAAAATAACAATAAAACAGAGTTTCAAAACAGGTTAGTAGGAGAGTTGACAATGAATACATTGTGTATTGTCTTCACAGTCGTTATTCAGAATACAAGATATAGGCATGATATCTTCTTCAAACAGTATTAGCGCAAACGTTTCTTTTCAGTGAACTAAGAGAAACTGGCTGCATAACTATCTTAACTATCTTGTGTACAAATACATTTTTTTTCTTTTTCCCTTCCTTCCTATCACCTTCCTCCCATCACAGTTTACATTTTTTTTTAACAGTTTCTTCTCAGTTCACAATATCTATTGTAAATTTTGGATCTTATTTACTCTTTCAGGTTCTCATACTAAGGATACAATATGATGTTTACACATGTGGGTCTGATTTATTTCACTTATGAGTATGGTCTTGAGTTGCATCTATTTACCTATGAAAGTCTCCAGTTTATCTTTCTTTATGG